TCTTCCTTCTAACCTCTAAGCTGTCTTTGTTCATTCCTGGGCGTAGGCTGACCTAACTTTGGGAGAAAAGTAGTTTATAATTTAAAACTTAGTTTATAGTTTAAAACAAAGATGACAACAGCCCTTTCCCAAAACAAACCCCCTTCTTGCCTGGGGACTAGACTGCCTTTGTAGGACTGAGAAACTAGCCACAAGATTAGAAATTATGGTTTAGGAGTCATACAGCTAGAGGCCACAAAGTTTTAACCCTCCTTAAACTGCTCCTAAGATCAGTGCTCAGATGTTTTGCAGACCCTGCACCTGAGGGATCAGCTGGCACCACCCGGATGGATAAACTGGCTCATCTGATCTTGTGGCTCCCACCCAGGAACTGACTCAGTGCAAGAAGACAGCTTCACCTCCCTATGATTTTATCTCTGACCTGACCAATCAGCACTCCTGGTTCACTGGCTTTCCCCTACTCACCAAGCTGTCCTTAAAAACTCTTATTTCCTGGCCAGGTGCAGTGGCTCACACTTGTAATCCCAGCACTTTGGGAGGCTGAGGTGGGATCACTTGAGAAGAGTTCGAGACCAGCCTGGCCAACATGGCAAAATCCCATCTCTACTAAAAATACAAAAATTTGCTGGGCATGGTGGCGTGTGCCTGTAATCCCAGCTACTGGGAGGGATGAGGTAGGAGAATCACTTGAACCCAGGAGGCGGAGGTTGCAGTGAGTGGAGATTGTGCCATTGCACTCCAGCCTGGGTGACAAGAGCGAAACTCCATCTCAACAACAACAACAACAATAAAACCTCTTATTTCCAAATACTTGGGGAGACTTATTTGAGTAATCATAAAACTCTGGTCTCCCACACAGTGGGTCTATGTGAATTACTCTTTCTCTACTACAGTTCTCCTGTCTTGATAAATTGGCTCTGTCTAGGCAGCAGGCAAGGTGAACCCATTGGGTGGTTACAAGAGGATCACATGAGCCCAGTAGGTCAAGGCTGCAGTGAGCTGTGACCACACCATTGCACTCCAGCCTTTGGGACAGAGCAAGATCCTGTCTCAAAATAAAATAAAATAAAATAAAATAAATAAAATATTTTTTTTCAAAGAGAACCATTTACAAGCTAATCTCTGTTCCCTGATCCATTCATTCTCCCTAGTAATCATTTATTGTACCTCAACATAATTACCTATATTTCCCTTCTACTCACTTCCCTCTCAAATAAGGCTATGTAAGTATCTGGGCCCCACTGGGATATTGAGTGATCACTCTGATTCTCCCCTGTGTACACATTAATAAGTTTTAATGCCTTTTTCCTACTAATCTGCATTTTGTGAGTTGATTTTTCAGTAAACCTTCAGAGGACAAAGGGGAAGTTTTTCCCTTGGCCCCTACTGTCAGAGGCATTTGAACCAAAGTGACTCCATCTTGAATAGGCGCTGGGTAAAATAAAGCTGAGACCTACTGGGCTGCATTCCTAGGAAGTTAGACATTCTTAGTCACAGGATGAGATAGGAGGTTGGCACAAGATACAAGTCACAAAGACCTTACTGAGAAAACATGATGCAGTAAAGAAGCTGGCCAAAATCTGCCAAATCCAAGATGGTAATGAAAGTGACCTCTGGTCATCCTCACTGTTCATTATGTTAGAGTCAGCAGTTAGGCAGCCATGAGCAGGGCAGGTGACCATCAGATGATGGTCAGGCAGTTGTTAAACTGTCTCTCTAAAATAATTGGTTGCAGCAAGTGCTAGGGAAAGACAATCTCCCAATAGATAGAAAACACCTGAAACTAGCTGGGCACCATGGCTCATGCCTGTAATCCCAGCACTTTGGGAGGCTGAGGCAGGTGGATCACCTGAGGTCAGAAGTTCAAGACCAGCCTGGGCAACATGGTGAGACCTGCCCCCCATCTCTACTAAAAATGCAAAATTAGCCGGGTGTAGTGGTGCATGCCTGTAATCCCAGCTACTCAGGAGGCAAGGCTGGAGAATCGCTTGAACCTGGGGGGCAGAGGTTTCAGTGAACTGAGATTGCACCATTGCACTCCAGCCTAGGTAACAAGAGTGAGACTCCATCTCAAAGAAAAAAGGGAAAGGAAACACCTAAAACTGGTAATCAGCAGCTTCCTGGTAAGATCTTTGGAGCTGGACAAGTGGGCTAAGGCATGTTCACTAAGAGGCAAAACAGCAGAGTTTAAGGGTATATGACCTTCCTCTGGGAACACTTGACTGGTAAGGGAAAACTGCCTCAGCTGAGCATGCGTACAACTTCAGTAAACACACTGCACATACAGACAGCCCACCCCAAGGGGAGAGTTAAGGGAAGAGAAGTAGAAACCCTGGAACCATACCCATTTATAAAACCTCAAGTCGAGGGCTGAACAGGGCACTTGGATCTCTCAAGTCACGCACTTAGCCCTCTTCAAAGTGGACTTTGCTTCCTTTCATTCCTGCTCTAAAACTTTTTAATAAACTCTCATTCCTGCTCTAAAAGTTGTCTCAGTCTCTCCCTCTGCCTTAAACCTACTTCTGCCCCTTGGCTGAATTCTGTCCTCCGAGGAAGCAAGTATCTAGTTGCTGCAGCCCCATGTGGATTTGCTGCTGGTAACAATTATATACTAGTTATGATGTATTAGCATGCTAAAAGACACTCCCACCAGCACTGTGACAACTTATAAATGCCATGGCAATGTCTGGAAGTTAACCTACATAGTCTAAAAAGGGGAGGAACCCTCAGTTCTGGAAATTGGCCACCCCTTTCCCAGAAAACTCATGAATAATCCACCCCATATGTAGCATATAAGCAAGAAATAACCATAAGTATACTCATAGAGCAGCCCATGCCTCTGCTCTGCCTGAGGAGCCATTCTTTTGTTTCTTTTCTTCTCTAATAAACTTGCTTTCACTTGGACTTGCCCCAAATTCTTTCTTGTGCAAGGTCCAAGAACCCTCTTTTGGGGTCTGGATTGGGACCCCTTTCTGGTAACACTACAATTCTAAGAGCTCTTTTTTATTGGTTCACCTATAGGAATAAACTGAGGCAAAATTAATATAAGCAGAGAGTTTATTTGGGCCAAATTTGAGGACTACAGCCCTGGAGACACAGATTCAAGTTAAGTTGCCCTGAATATATGCTGTGATTAGCAGCACTTACAAGTGGATTTTGTTTTTGTTTTTGTTTTTTTTTGGAGACAGGGTCTTGTTATGTTGACCAGGCTGGTCTTGAACTCTTGACTTCAAGCAATCAACAAGTGGGGTTTTTTTGTTTTGTTTTGTTTTGTTTTTAGATGGAATCTTGTTTTGTCACCCAGGCTGGAATGCAGTAGTGCAATCTTGGCTCACTGCAACTTCTGCCTCCCAAGTTCAAGCAATTCTCCTGCCTCAGCCTCCCTAGCAGCTGGAATTACGGGTGTGCACCACCACGCCCAGCTATGTTTTGTATTTTTAATAGAGACAGGGTTTCCCCATGTTGGTCAGGCTTGTCTCGAACTCCTGACCTCAGATGATCCGCCCACCTCAGCCTCCTAAAGCACTGAGATTACAGTTGTGAGCCACCGCGCCTGGCCAATAAGTGGGTTTTTTTTTTTTTTGAGACGGAGTCTCGCTCTGTCACCCAGGCTGGAGTGCAGTGGCCGGATCTCAGCTCACTGCAAGCTCCGCCTCCTGGGTTTATACCATTCTCCTGCCTCAGCCTCCTAAGTAGCTGGGACTACAGGCACCCGCCACCTCGCCCCGCTAGTTTTTTGTATTTTTTTTTTTAGTAGAGACGGGGTTTCACCGTGTTAGCCAGGATGGTCTCGATCTCCTGACCTTGTGATCTGCCCGTCTTGGCCTCCCAAAGTGCTGGGACTACAGGCTTGAGCCACCGCGCCTGGCCAACAAGTGGATTTTTAAAGGAAAAAAGAAGGGGCAGTTCCTAAATTGAACATAAACTACTAATTGGCATATATTGTTCCTTGTATCACAAATTCCAGGAACATGAAGATAATGGGTGAGGGTCATATTGTGCAACTTGTGATAGTATTTTAGGTAATTTATCAGCCAGTCTGGAAACTACATGGAAGGAAAGAAAGAACAAATGTCTTTAAACAATTGTTCCTAGGCACGGCTCTCTGGGGAGGGGTGGGTGTGACTGAAGATTCATTCTCTGAAGATTCTGTCTCTCTGGGCCTGATAAATTTTGCATACCACACATTTTTCAGACTTCTCTGAGCTACTTCTCTTTCTCACTTCAGTGTTCATTTTAAAAATAGTAACCTATTATTTCACAGATGCAATGTCTTATTGCTCTAAAGCATGCATAACAGTAGAGAAGGGGTCTTTAAGAGGGGCAGCAGTTGTCCCCCAAGGGGGCAAAAATTGGTTCTTTTGGGATTGACAAGAGAATCTTTTATATCACAGTGATCTGTGGCCTTCAAAAACTCAACCCTATCCAACAAAATCATATTCATTCTTCTAGAGTTGAAGTGTCTTTGCCTGGGCTGGAGTGCAGTGGCGTGATCATAGCTCATCTCAGCCTGGAACTCCTGGGTTCAAGTGGTCCTCCTACCTCAGTTTCCCGAGTCGCTGAGACTACAGGTGTGTGCCATCACACCCAACTAATTTTTTTTTTTCTTGTAGACAGTTGGTCTCGCTATGTTGCCCAGGCTGGTCCTGAACTCCTGGCCTACAGCGATCCTCCTGCCTTGGCCCCCCAAAGTGCTGAAATTACAGGTGTGAGCAACTGCGCCCAACTTCTTGTCCATTAATATTTAATTTCTCTCTGCGTAGTCTCGTTTCCTCTATTTTTTCCTTTCTTTCCTGTTTTGATCTCTATCTTTACTAGGGGCTTTTCTCAGATGTGTGGTGACCCTTGGTTTTCCATTCATATTTTTTTTTTAATGTGGAGCTAAAAGGCTGCTTGGAAGCTCTGAGCACATGAGGTGGAGTTGTCAACATGGGCTTCCTTTTATTTATTTATTTTTACTTATTTTGTTTTCTTTGATCTCTGTTTTGTTTCTTTTTCAGGTCTCAGACAAAAATCTGGAACGTGGGCTTCTTCGTAGCTTATTTGGCTGGGCTTTTGTATTATATGAACCACAGAAAATAATCTTCCAGTATGGTATTGTTTTCAATATAGTACCTCAACCCCAATTTTGCCTGGTATCCCTTTATCCAGAGACCTTTTGTTTTCAACTTACAGTCTTATTCTGGGGTGGGGGATGTACAGTCTGGCTGTGTGGACTTGCAGGAGAGATTTAGGGTTCTAACTACTTCTTACTGACTTCCAAGTAATCCTCCTGTATTCAGTCTTATATGCACCCCCACTTATACTAGATGTAGCTGGTACTACCAAAGCCTGGTCACAAAACTCTATGGGAGTCTCAATGCAAGTTTAGTTGCTTCTTAACTTTCACCCCTGCTGGCTTAAAACTCAGCTTCATAAGCCTGCTAAGTCAGTTGCTATTTATCCTGTTTTCCAGCCCTTCAATTTTTTAAATGAAAATTTGTATTTTTAATTGACAAATAATAATTATATATATTTATGGGATAAATATGATGTTTTGATATTAATAGATGTATACATTGTGGAATGATTATATGAAGCTAATTAACATATCCCTCTCCTCACGTACTTCTTTTTCTTTGTATTGAGAACATTTAAAATCTATTCTTGGCCAAGCATGGTGGTTCACACCTGTAATTCCAACACTTTGAGAGGCCAAGGCAGGAAGATTGCTTGAGCCCAGGAATTCAGGGGTTCCAGACACCAGCCTGGGCAACATAGCAAGACCCTGTCTCTGATGAAAAAAAAAAAGTAAAAATAAATGTTTAATTTTAAAAAATTATTATTGTTATTATTTTTACAATTTTGAAACTGTAGGGGCCAGGAAAAAATTTCCCCTTTATTCTCTGAAGAATCACTAAAAAAAATCACTCACAAAATGCAGATTAATAGGAGCAATGGCATAAAAACTTAGTAATTGTTTTCCTTGTTGGATCCCTCAGATCTTTATATAGATAGGGAAAAGGTTTCTTCTGGCATCTGTTGATTGCTAAGGACATTTAGTTCAAAATACTCGTTATACCAGGGAGCCATATTTGGGGGTAAAATTCCAGGTGCTCCTTCAAAATGTACATTATTATTGACTATGGTCACCATGTACAATAGATCTCAAAAACTTATTCCTCCTGGCTAACTGAAATGTGTGCCCTTTGGTCAACATCTCCCCTACTCCCCTCCTCCCACTGGTGGTTACCAGTACAATGGTAACCACCATTCTACTTTCTGCTTCTATGAGCTCAACTTTTTAAAATTCCACATATAAGTGAAATCGTGATATTTGTCTTTCTGAATCTGGCTTATTTCACTTAGCATAATATCTTCCAGGTTCATCCATGTTGTCGCAAATGATAGCATTTCCTTATTTGTAATGTTCCCTCAAATTTAATCAATTGTATGGGGTTTACGTGATAAAGAATCCTTCTGCTGTCATTTTCGTGGGGTTTCCAGAAGGAGCCTAAATAGGTACATGTGCTTAGTCTCTCTCTTTTTTTTTTTTTTTTTTTTTTTTCTGTTTGAAGACAGGTCTCCCTCTGTTGCCAGGCTGGAGTGCAGTGGCCTGATCATGACTCATTGCAACCTCTGCCTCCCAGGCCCAAGCAATCCTCCTACCTCAGCCTCCAAGTAGCTGGGACTGCAGGTGTGTGCCACCATGTGTGGCTAATTTTATTTTTGTAAAGACAGAGTCTCCTTATATTGCGCAGGCTGGTCTCAAACTCCTGGGCTCAAGATCCTCCTGCCTCTGCCTCCCAAAGTGCTGGGATTACAGGCATGAGCCATGGTGTCTAGCCTAGCCTGTCATCTTTAAACAATTGGGTTGGGAAGGAAAAGGTAGCACATAGATATTGATAGATTATTGAAGCAGAAATAGATTAGCATAATTGTCCATTGTAAAGGGGCTGAATGATCTGGAGAAATGGAGGCAACTCAGGAAAACTGAACTTGGTGATGTGTGCTTAGCACTAATGAAAAGTGGCCGGGCACAGATGCTCATGCCTATAATCCCAGCACTTTGGGAGGGTGAGAGGGAGTATAATTTGAGGTCAGGAGGTCAAGGTTGCAGTGAGCCATGATTGTGCCACTGTTCTGCCTGGGCAGCAGAGTGAGACCCCAACTCTTTAGGGAAAAAACAAAACAAAACCCAGAACCAAAGAAATGTTAGTTCCAGGGATTCCCAGGGACATAGGCAGGGTCCAAGAATGATGCTGAGTTAAGGTTAGGTGGCTGTTCAGAGAGCTACTTCAACTTGTGTCCCATATTATGGATCAAGGACCTTAAAAATAGCCATAGTTTTTTTGTTGTTGTTGTAGTAACTCAATTTGTAGGATTGTTTCCTAAGAGATAATCTGGCATGTTCAAGGACTTCTTCACAAAGATGTTCATTAGCTGCATTATTTATAGTACCAAACATTAGAAATAGTCTAAACCAGAGATCAGCAAACTATGGCTATAACAGTGACAAGGAGGCCTAGCATGACCAACTCCATTTTGCTCCTAACCCCCCTGCAGTGATAACCTGTATCTTTTAGGTTAATTGCTTTTGCTTATCTCTGCACATAGGCCAAGCTAACTATAGGAGGAATTTAGTTTATAGTTTAAAGTAAGGATGGTAATAGTACCTCCCCCAAAACTAACCCCTGAGGAGATAAGGAGGATGTATGCAAGTAATAATGTTATGTTAAAGATTCACAAGAGCATTGTGACCTGACCAAGGACAAGGTTTCACCACCTTCTTGGACCCTTGCTGCCACCCCGATGTCTGTGATCACTGGCCACTTCTTGACCTCAACTCCTTCCCTCTTCCCCTCACATAAAAGGAGCCTGAAATTTGTATTGACTTAAAATGGTTCTTTAGGACACTACTCTTCCATTTTCTTGGTTTGCTGGCTCTCTGAATCAAAGTCACTTTCCTTGCCTCAACCCCTTGTCTCTTGATGTATTAGATGTCATGCAGTGAATGGTACACACTTTGGACTCGGTTACATGACCCACAGAATCATGCAGTCCTTTTATTTTGGTAAAGTTGTGTTAAATACGGCACACCCGTGTATGTATTGTTTATAGCTTATGGCTTCTTTCATGCTACAAGGGCAGAGACTATATGGCCAATAAAGCCTAAAATATTTACTATCTGTACCTTTTTTTTTTTTTTTTTTTTAGAGAAAGGGGGTCTTGCTATGTTGCCCAGGTCGGTCTCAAACTCCTGGACTCAAGTGATCCTCCTGCCTCGGCCTCCCAAAGTGCTGGGATTACAGGTGTGAGCTACCGCGCCTGGCTATCTGGACCTTTAAGGAAGTTTGTTGGCCCCAGTTTAGATGACTGGTACGGGAATGGTCAAGCTAAGATATAGCCATATGATGGAACAGAATGTAGTCAATGAACATTGTGTCTAGGAAAAAACATGCTTTCAACATTTTAATAGAATGTTCGCATTATAATGTTAAGTTAAAAAAAGCTAGATATAAAATTATACAATCTGTTCTGAACTATATAAAAATATGTACAGAAAAATACACTGGCAAGAAATTTAGTATCATAAAATATTTTCTTTTTATTTCTTTTCTTTTTTTTTTTCTCCCCAAGACAGAGTCTCACTCTGTCCCCCAGGCTGGAATGCGGCGGTGTGATCTTGGCTCATTGCAACCTCCGCCCCGCCAGGTTCAAGCGATTCTCCTGCCTCAGCCTCCTGAGTAGCTGGGACTACAGGCACGTATCACCATGCCCAGCTAATTTTTGTATTTTTAGTAGAGACGGGGATCTCACCATATTGACAAGGTCTTGAACTCCTGATCTCAGGTGATCCACTCCCCCTCGGCCTCCCAAAGTGTTGGGATTACGTGCATGAGCCACTGCACCTGGCCTAAAATATTTTCATTTAGTTTTTTGTTGTTGTTAGAGAGACAGGGTCTTGCTCTGGCACTCAGGCTGGATTTCAGTGGTGCAATCATTTCGCACTGAAGCCTTGACTCCTGGACTCAAGAAATTGTCCCACCTCAGTCTCCTGAGTAGCTAGGGCTACAGGCACACACCAGCTAATTTTTACTGTTTTTTGTAAGATGGGGTCTCATTATGTTGCCCAGACTGGTCTTGAACTTCTGGCTTCTTTCATCACATACTTCTGATTAAAAAAAAAAAAAAGAACTCCTGGCTTTGCCGGGCGCGGTGGCTTCTGCCTGTAATCCCAGCACTTTGGGAGGCTGAGGCGGGCGGATCACCTGAGGTCAGGAGTTCCAGACCAACATGTCAAAACCCTGTCTCTACTAAAAATAAAAAAAATTAGCCAGGCATGGTGGCGCATCCCTGTAGTCCCAGCTACTTGGGAGGCTGAGGCAGGAGAATCGTTTGAACCAGGAGGTGGAGGTTGCAGTAAGCCGAGGTTACAGTAAGTCAAGATTGTGTCACTGTACTCCACTGGGCGACAGAATGACACTGTCTCAAAAAAAAAAAAAAAAAAAAAAAAAACTCTTGGCTTCAAGTGAGCCACCTGCCTCAGCCTCCCAAAGTGCCGTGATTACAAGCATAAGCCGCCACACCTGGCCATAAAATATTAGTACTTTTCTGTACAACAACCAGGTCAGAGATAGAACTTTGTATGGGGAGAATTCCTCCTGCTGCGACATGGTCTGTGCCCTACAAACGTAAGTGTCAGCACAAGGCAAGGGAACAACAGGAGAAGGGAAAGGGCAACACCAATAATTCAGTAGTTTCTGTAGTGACAGTCAAGAGCTGCCCAAACTTGAGGGAGCTCCGAGAGTAAGATGACCGACCATCTGGGTTTGCTGACACTGTCTTGACTTTAGCATGGCAGCCACACATGGCAGGAAGCCCCTTAGTGTGGGGTTCCCACAGTTGGCCACCCTACAACCATGCTGTACCACCCACACACACCATTACATAGCCTTGGTTGACCTTTGCAAAGTACCTGAGAATGGATTTGTCTCTTGTTAGACACTTCTCCAGTGAACAGTTGGGTGGAACACCATTAATCAATGAGTGCTTTTGTGCAAAACAGAAAAGGGGCCTGCTCTGGGCAAATGCAGGCCTCATAGCTTGGTGAAACACCTTTGGTAGCAGGCAGCCTTCTGTTAGGCCCTAGCTAGAGCACACAGCTCGTCAAGCAGAGCCACGGCTGGAATTCAGGACCCTGTTCTCTTAGCAGGCACCTTCGTACAGTGCACAAACCACACAATTGCAGGCAGCAGACCTGCCACTCAGACTCCAGAGGGATCTGCTCCCTGTCCCAGGTGCCTCTAACATCCACAGTGCCAGGAAACACAAAACTCTTTCTTGAGCACTGAGTTATGTATTTTTGTCTAGGGACTGTGCCTGCTGTGTCTGTGAAATCCAAAATAAACACCGGATTTTTAATTTTTTCCCACAGAATAAGGACCTACTGGAAATAGATGAAAAAGACATAAAAAGACATCTGGAGGGGAAACATTGAAGCCAACAATGAGACTGGAGGTGGAATTCAGCCCTTTTATTTTTATTCTCTGATTCCAAAAAGGAACCCACTGGACTGCAGGAGCATGGCGACCACCCTGTCTCTTTACAGCAGCCCCGTGCTCATGGGCTCATGGGTGGTGCTGTAAAGGCCCTCTTTCCAGCCACTCCATCTTCAATGTTGTCACTGCCCGTTCTCTCACTCCTCCTTCTGGGTGTCTGACAAAATGTTCATTAGATGTTTAAAATATGTTTTCTGAGTCTTTTCTATTCCTCTGCACATCCCATCTTTTTGTCTCTTGGAAAGGAGGTAGGAGACCAGCAGGACTTGTCTTCTAGTCACAACTCTGCTGACCCAAGAAGACGGTCCACACAGGATGAAGTGAAGAGACCGGCGGAAACCAGCAGATGGCGACAAAAGCAATCCCTAGCCGCCCTCATTGCTCATTAGCATTGGACACGCCCACAACGCCATCCATGACAGTTTACAAATGCCATGGCAACGACCCGGAAGTTACTGCCTCTTTCCAGGACAACAAATTTTCTGGGTCATTGCCTTGGAAAGGAGCAGTAACTTCCCAGATCTTTCTAAATAATTGGCCCTCAATTTACATTAGCTTGCCCCTTAATTTGCAAGTAATTGAAAGTGGGTACAAGTAGATAGAGTTGTCAACAGCCCACACATTGCAAACTCTGGGCTCATTGCCTACAAGTTACCCCTGCTCTGCAAGGAGAGGTGCTATTCATATAAGATTGCTGTTTAACACCACAGGCTTGTCCTTAAATTCTTTCCTGGGTGAAGCTGAGAACCCTTCAGAGCTAAGCCCCAATTTTGGGGCTCACTGTCCTGCAGCAGAATTATGTTCTTCAGTCCTGTTTCCCAATTCCCTACTTCCCTCTTCAGTTTTATATTTTTTGTCGTTAAACCTATCTGCTGAAGTTAGCTTGTAAGCATTTATATATGTATGTACACATGTATGTATGTTTGTTATTGCATTTTTCCCTAGAAGTTCTGTCTGGTTATTTTAAAAATAGACTACGTAGGCCAGGCGTGGTGGCTCAAGCCTGTAATCCCAGCACTTTGGGAGGCCAAGAGAGGCGGATTGGTCAGGAGTTCGGGATCAGCCTGACCAATATAGTGAAACCCCATCTCCACTACAAATACAAAAATTAGCTGGGTGTGGTGGCACGTGCCTGTAATCTCAGATACTCAGGAGGCTGAGGCAGGAGAATCACTTGAACCCTGGAGGCGGAGGCTACAGTGAGCCGAGATCGTGCTACTGCACTCCAGCCAGAATGACAGAGTGAGACTCTGTCCCAGAAAAAAAAATAATAATAATAAATAGACTACATTGCTTTTCATAGTTTCCAATTCATTGAATATATCCACAAGTTTGCCTTAAAAAAATTCAGGCTGACTCTGGGTGCACTGCCTATGAGTTGTCTCTGCTCCACAGGGTTAACTGTAATCTATAAATAAAAATAAAATGAAATAAAATAAATTCAGCCTATTTGTTTAAAAAGTCTACATCTGATAATTCAATATTTGAACTCTTTATGGATCTCTTTCTATTATTTGTCTTTTTTCCCTGCCAATTGCCAGTCTTGTACTTTATCAGTTATCTATGACTGTGTGTTGGACAGTGCTTTGAGGTTTTTTGTTTTGTTTTGTTTGGGAGTCTCCTTCTGTTGCCCAGACTAGGGTGCAATGGCTTGATCTCGGTTCACTGCAACCTCTGCCTCCTGGGTTCAAGATATTCTCCCACCTCAGCCTCCCAAGTAGCTGGAACTACAGATGCCCACCACCGCACCTGGCTAATTTTTTGTATTTTTAGTAGAGACGGGGTTTTGCCTTATTGGCCAGGCTGCTCTCGAACTCCTGACCTCAGGTTATCCATCCCCGCTCAGCCTCCCAAAGTGCCGGGATTATAGGCGTGAGCCACCGCACCCAGCCTAGACACTGCATTTGAAAAACTATGTGTAGAAATTATTTGAGGCCTATGTTGAAGGTACTTTCCTTCAGAAAGTCTTTACATTTGCTTCTTTGAGGCGTCTAGGGGTATAATAATCTCAAAGCACCCTAAACCAGGTTCAAGGCTTGATATTCCCTGACCCAAACAATTAGCAATGTCTGCCATATAAGTAAATAAATGAAGAATATAAAAGACACTTACAAAGCAGGTCAAACGCTCCCAAATCAGAGACAATAGTGTCAACAGAGGTCAGTTACTGGGGCCCCATATTCTCACCTGATCAGTAAGAGCTAATAACGAGTCCTCTAGGCATAGCCAAAGGGCTTGTTGGGTACAAAGATCTGGCATCATAATGTGATGTGAAAGTTATAGGTGGACTGGCCAATGTGTCAATCCATCGGACTGGAGAGGAGTGTTGAATTTAGGTTTAAGACTTTTCTTATTTTAATGTCAATGCTGTGTTATCTGTATTATCTTAAAAGAATCACTTGCTCTCTCTGGGCCTTGGTTTGTCCGTCTATGAAGCAATGGGATTGCACCGCATCAGTGTTTCCCAAATTTTAATGTTCACCTGTGCCCTGGGGAGCTTGTTAAACTGTAGTTTTGATTCAGTAAGTCTGGGATGGACTCTGAGAGTCAGTGAGTGTATCTAAGAAGCTCCCAGCTGATTCTAGCAGTCCCGCTCTGTGGGCCACACCTGGAGTAGAAAAGTTTTACATAAACTCTACCTTCCTCTCCTGTAGAAGTCTAGGCAAATAGGGACCTCTCTGGAGGCCCACTGATTAAACAAATCCCCTCCCCAACCGGATCAGTCTGCCTCATGTTTCAGAACTGGATTCCTGTCTCACATCCTCTAGTCCTCTAGAAAGCCTTGCCTGGTGTCTTTGCTTGCAGGGCGTCCCACCAACAGCCTGACCCTAAGCGCTGTGAGCATGCCTCTGTCATATTGCACTGTTGTCACCTGCCCAGTGTCAACACCCATGTCCCCAGTACTACTACAGTGCTGGGCACATAATTGGAACTCAATAATTATTTGTGGTATAAGTAAATGGAATAACAAACCAAAGTAAGTTATAACTAGAGGTGGGAGTCAGGGGTGACTCAGCATATTCCTGACCAGGGCTTAAAAATGTCAGATCTCTGGACTGGGCACGGTGGCTCACACCTGTAATCCCGGTACTTTGGGAGGCCAAGGCAGGCAGATCCCTTGACATCAGGAGTTTGAGATCAGCCTGGCCAACATGGTGAAACCGTCTCTACTGAAAATATAAAAATTAGCCGGGTGTAGTGGCGCATGCCTTTGGTCCTAGCTACTCGGGAGGCTGAGGCACGAGAATCGCTTGAACCCAGGAGGTGGAGGTTGCAGTGAGCTGAGATAGTGCCACTGCACTCCAGCCTGGGCAACAGAGCAAGACTCTCAAAAAAAAAAAAAAAAAGTCAGGTCTCTGTTTACTCTCAGAGTTGGAGATATCAGCTCGGCTCCTGTTATGGACTAAATTGTATCCCTTGTTCATAAATTGAAGCCCTAACCTCCTATCCCCCATGACTCTATTTGGAGATGATGGAGTCCTAATCCTCCAGGACTGGCATTCTTGTAAAAGAGGAAGATGCACCTGGGATGCACATGCACAGGGAAAAGGCCGAACGAGGACACAGCTGGAAGGAGACTGTGTGCAGGTCATGGAGGGGGCCTCAGGAGAAGCCAAACCTGGCTTCATCTTGGATTTTCAGCCTCCGGAAGTGTGAGAAAACAAATTTCTGTTGTTAAAGCCACCTAGACCATGGCATTTTGTTATGGCAGTTCCAGCTGACTAATGTAGCTCCTGACCTGAGAGTGGAATGGGAGCCTCTGGTGTCTAGGCTTCTCTGCCTGAACAGAAGACTTTCTGACCTCCTGGAGCGGGTGCTCAGCTCCGTTCAGCTGTTCCTCTGAGGCAGGAGAGGAGATTCTCCTCTGGGCTAGTTTCGTTGGGAAGACTAGAGAAAAAGGGCTCTTCCAGATGGAATTTGTGACACCCCCAGCACTGCTGATTATTCTTGGTGGGACATGTCTGAATTCTAAAACTTGACCTTCAGGTACCGCATTCTTGCCTGTTCACTTCCTCCTAGTAACTATACCCAGTATTGTCTATGGCTATTCCTGCCTTTCCACATTCTCTTATTTTTTTGGAGATGGGGTCTCACTATGTTGGCCAGGCTGGTCTCAAACTCCTAGGCTCAAGGCGATCCTCCCACCTTGGCCTCCCAAAGTGCTGAGATTACAGACGTGGGTCATCACACCCGGCCCACATTTTCTCCTGTATCCCAAACTTCCTTGTCAGCTGGGTTCCTTGCGAGGTAGGTTCTGCTAGTGGAAGGCACTTACATGAAGTTGGTTGGAAGGTGGGAGGGAGAGGCCATTTTTTTTCTGTGTATGACATTTATCAGTAGGTTTGTAGGCAATCATGGGCCCTGCAACAGTAGGGTACTGGGGCGAGGGCAGCAGGGGTGGCTCTGGGTAAGTAAGGGCCCCAGTGGCTCTGGTGGCTGTTTCAATAGCACGAACAGGTGGACTCTTGGCTGCCTGCCCAATGGGAAAGGCAGTGATTGTCGTGGGAGTGGCAGCATCAGCAACACTACAGATACATTTGTTGTAAGCTCATGCACTCTGGGTAAAAACTAGTCTCTCCTTTTTGTCCCTCCAGCCCAGTGGGGGTTCCAGAAGCTTCCTACAATCATTGGTTTTTTAATAGCATCACTTTCCCCCAGGGTCACGGAGAAAAGCTGTGAACATCACAAAAATGGTCTGAATATAGAAGACCTTGAATGCCAGGTAAGCACCACGTCTGCACATCATTCACATCCAGTGACTGTGCTTGAATTACTGAAGTGCAGGGGGTGTGGTAGTAACGAAGGGGTGACATGCCTTGTATCCCTGATTGGATGCCCTGATGCCCTGGTTCTAATCTTAACCTCTCCACTCTGCATAGGTGAATGATGTGCCTCTCTGGGCCTCAGTTTCTCCGTGTGTAAAATACTGTGATTGAATCACATAGTTGTTAAGCATAGTCCAGCTCTGAAACTATTCTCGGATTAGCTCTTTAGTGACGTACTTTAACAGAATCTTCTGGAGTCAGCAACAACTCAAAATAGGTGAAGTAATTGGAGTAATTGAAGCTCATTGACTGAATGTTTGTCACCCCTCCATACCCCACCTCCCCGCCAAACTCACCTGATGAAGGCCTAACCCCCAGTGTGGCTGTCTCTGGAAATAAGGTTTTGAAAGAGGTGATTAAGGTGAAATGAAGTGAGGTCACAAGGATGGACCCTGATCTGATACTAGTAGTATCCTTATAAAAAGTGGAAGAGGCCAGGCATGGTGGCTCATGCCTGTAATCCCAGCACTTCGGGAATCCAAGGCAAGCAGATCACTTGAAGTCAGGAGTTTGAGACCAGCCTGGCTGATATGGCAAAACCCTGTCTCTACTAAAAATATAAAAATTAGGCAGTCATGGTGGTGGGCATGGTGGTGGGCGCCTGTAGTCCCATGTACTTGGGAGGCTGAGGCAAGAGAATCACTTGAACCTGGGAGGCGGAGGTTGTAGTGAGCGGAGATTGCACCACTGCACTCCAGCCTGGGCAACAGAGTGAGACTCCATCTCAAACAAAAACAAAAAGTGGAAGAGACATGAGATCTTTCTCTCCTTGTGTGCGCATTCAGAAGAAATACCATGTGAGGAAATAGTGAGAAGGTGGCCATCTGCAAGCCAGGAAGGGAGCCTTCACCAGAAACCGAACACTGCTGGAACCTTGAACCAGTAGAAAATAAATGTCTATTGTTTAAGCCTACTCAGCCTGTGGCATTTTGTTATGGCAGTCCTAGCAAACAGGGGTCTTTGGCAAGGCCTCAAACTGGAAGCTTAAAGACAGTCGGCCCACAGATGTTTGGTTTGGTTGACTTAATTTCTTTTTCTTCTCTTTTTTTTTTTTTTTCTTTTGAGAGGGAGTTTCGCTCTTGTTGTCCAGGCTGGCGTCCGGATCTCAGTTCACCACAACCTCCATCTCCCAAGTTCAAGTGATTCTCCTGCCTCAGCCTCCTGAGTAGCTGGGATGACAGGCATGCGCCACCACACCCAGCTAATTTTGTATTTTTAGTAGAGACGGGGTTTCTCCATGTTGGTCAGGTTGGTCTCGAACTCCCGACCTCAGGTGATCCACCCACCTTGGCCTCCCAAAGTGCTGGGATTACAGGCATGAGCCACTGTGCCCAGCCAATTTCTTTCTTTCTTTCCTTTTTCTTTTTTCTCTTTTTTTTTTTTTTTTAAGAGACAGAGTCTCACTGTCACTCAGGGTGGAGTGCAGTGGTATGATCTTGGCTCACTGCAACTTACTTTCTGGGCTCAAGCAATCCTCCCATCTCAGCCTCCCAAGTGACTGGGATTACTGGCAAGCAGGTGCCACTGCACCTGGCTAATTTTTTGTATTTTTTTTTTTTGTAGAAATGAGGTTTTGCAATATTGTCCAGGATGGTCTCCAACTCCTGGGCTCAAGCAATCTGCCTACCTCAGCCTCCCAAAGTATTGGGATTACAGATGTGAGCCACTGCACTTGACAAATATTTTTTAAACTTTGAATTTGAATGCTTAATAATTGCAGATGTGAGACAATTTTTTAAAAAGTAAGAGGTTATTCAATGTCCCTCTGACAGCATATTTGAAAACCAAGAGAAACAGATTTCTCACAAAACATATAATGCCAAAATTGACAGAGGAAAAAGTGGAAAATTTCAATGGACTAAGTTCTACAGAAGAGATGGAAAGGTAGTAAGATTGGATACTGAAGAAAGTACCAAGATGAAATGACTGAATAGCTGAATTTTATGTAACCTTTAAAGCACGGATAATTACAATGTTAAATCAAGTCCTTGCTACTCAGATTGTGGTCCATAGACCAGCAGCAGTGGTATCACTGGGAGCTTGTTGGAAATGCAGAATCTCAGGCTTGCCCCAGACCTACTAAATGAGACTCTGTATATTAACAGGATCCCTAGATGATCTGTGTGCACATTAATGTTTGACAAGCACTGGACTAGGCCACTAGTTCTTAACCTTGGCTGTACATTGGAATAATCTATGGAGTTTTTAAAAAGTACTAGTATTTGGGTTTCACCCTCAGAGATTCTGATTATTGCTCAGGTGCATGGCCTAGCATCTGCATTTTACAATACTCCGTACGTAATTAAGAATCAGAGATTTAAACTGGACCATACAAAAATATGAAAGGCTTTAAGAAATAAAGCTGACAAAGAATGTGACATAGTAATTACAGTAACACATTACTGTAAAATACAGTAATGACAAAAATAATACAACAAGATCAAGCACAGTTTATTCCAGGAATACAAGCAGTAGCATGCTGGATTCACAACTAGCTATCTGAGAAAGAAGAAAACAGCCCCAATTTATAGCGTTTGCCAATTCCCATGGTGTAAATACTCCCATCACAGCCAATTTTAAGCTACCAGCATGACCTCAACAACTTTAAAAAATTCCTGAAAATTTAATAATTGACTGTCACCTGGTAAGAGCCAGCTACAGCACACCACTAGAGGCTGATTCAAAATTAGGAAATCCACCGATGAATCCATTCTGTTAATACATTAAAGAAGTAAAACCAGGCCAGGCGTGGTGGGTCGTGCCTGTAATCCCAACACTTTGGGAGGCTAAGTGGGAGGATCACTTGAGCCCAGGAGGTTGACACCAACCTAGGCAAGGGAGACCTCACCTCCACAAAAAATAAAATAAAATAAATTAGCCAGGTGTAATAGTGCATGCCTGTAGTCCCAGCTTCTCAGGAGGCTGTGGCAGAGGGATACTTGAGCCTGGGAGTTTGAGGCTGCAGTGAGCTGTGATTGTGGCATTGCACTGCAGGCTGGGTGACAGAACCAGACCTTGTCTCAAAAAAAAAAAAAAAAAAGAAGGAAGTAAAACCACATTATCATATCACAAATGTTTAGGATTTGAGGCCTTCTGTAGATTTGATCTCCACTTTGGCACAGACATCATCATGCTATATCATCTCTCACCCAGCTGGCTGCACCTATTCCCTGACTCGCTGGTCCCCATGGCATGTGAGTTTGTGACACCTGCTTTACTGCCAAGTCAAATCTAACCTAGTCTTATCCCCTAGTATTCCAGGCAAGGCCTAGACTTGATCATGTCCTTTTTAGGTAGATGATGAAGATGTTATTGTCACTTCCTCATCTTTCAGCAGACAGAGCTGGCAGAGGAAACGGTGCTACTTCCTTAATCCATGGATACACTGCTTCAGACAAGGTTGCCCTTTCTCAACTCTGAAAGGAACGGAAGAGAAAGGCAGGGGCCCACCTAGTGTGCCTGGGAAACACAGGGGTGGGTTTCCTGTTCCTGCAAATGTTCCTGGCGTGCCTTTAGATCCCCCGTGGTTCACCCACTCTGCCCTGCATTTCCTTACCTCCTTGGCTTAATCATGCCAGTTTCTGCTTCTAGAATGCTGAGCCTCTAATATCTTTCTGGTAAGTTCCCTTTTTGTTCAGATATCCAACGTCAATTTTCATTGCTTCTGAACTGGACTGTGATGGAGCAACTGTGGAAGCAGGGGTCTGGCTGGGAAGTTCTGCTGAGGCCAGAGACAATGGACCACAGAAAACCATCTGGTGATGCCAGGCTGTGCTTAATCATCGAAGTCATTCCTCAAAGACATCTCCACAGTCAGAACCTATTGCTGCAACCCAGATACATAGCAATCACTTACCAGAAAAAAAAATTTGTGCTGAAACAATAGTAATTACAGGGCAACCCCTCTCATGCCTTCCTTGCTAACTCCTGATTGCCCTAACAATTAACTCCTACAAGCAAGTGATCTGCTCAGCCCACCTGCTCTTGCATTACAGGATGTTTGAATTTCTCAAGGCCAATGCTGCTCTTGTGCGTGACTCCCTCCCCCAGTATTGTAGACTTTCATTACCAACTTGTTATTATACAGTATCAGAGGCGTGGGGATCAGATAGATTCTTGGAGGTAAGTTTCACGTGCTACAACCTATTTGATCCTCTTCACATAACTTATCTCAAATCCTTTACTAGTCTAGACAAGTGTTTTCACTCACTCATGGATCCATTTATCCATCCAATAGACACAATTGTTGAATTCCCACTTTGTGCCACATCCCATGATGGGTAGGAGCTGGAGATACTGAGGCAAAAGTCAAGATCATACCCTCCAGTGGGGAGTGGCTATCTGCAGATTTCCTCATGAATGGCTGTTTAGTGGGCACCAATGCCACCCTTAGTTTGTAGACCACAGAACTCTACTTTTTTCTTAGAAGAAAGGAAGCAAAAATTTACATTGATTGAGTATTTACTCCGTCAGATACTAATTAAGATGCTTCTACATACCCTACCTCCTTCAGTTTTCACGGCAGCCTGGGAAGTGGTGATGATGGTTCTGATTTTCATTGATGAGTATATTAAGACTGGGAGAGGTTACACTGTTTGCCTAGTATTATCTAGTCAGTAACAGAGCTAGGACTGAAGGCAGCCTGCTTGACTCAAAAATCCATGCTCTTTGCCCAGCACCATAATTTAAATTTACAGAGGTATATCAAACTCAAACAGAAGAGAAGGCGGGGTGCAGTGGCTCATGCCTGTAATCCCAACACTTAGGGAGGCAGAGGCAGGAGGTTTGCTTGAGCCCAGGAGTTTGAGACCAGCCTGGGCAACATGGCAAAACGCTGTCTCTACAAAAAAATACAAAAATTGGCTGGGCATAGAGGCGCGTGCCTGTAGTCCCAGCTACTTGGGAGGCTGAGGTGGGAGGATCAGTTAAGCCCCGGGAAGTGAAGGTTGCAGTGAGACCCTGTTCTCCACAAAAAGGAAAAAGACAAAAACAAACAGAAGGGAAGAGCTTGGACACTTGCTCAGCCCCTCTTTGGGCAAAGAAGAGAGAGGTCTGTCCTGTAAGGACAAGAAGAAAAGCACATGTCAGGGAAGATAAAGTCTCAACAACAATGAAAAACTTATGAAAATAATAAACACAAAGGGACATGATGGAAAACCCCCAACAAGCTCACTTCACAGAATGAGTCATCCCCAGAAGAATTTGGAGAAAGATTAGAGAATAGGCTTTCCGTGATGATAAAGTGTGTCTGAGGGGGAGAAAAATGGATAGGCGTTGGAATCCTTGTGCATCTGAACTGTTTACTGGGAGGCAGAGCCCTGCCACAGGCTTTGTATTTAGCATCCAGCTGCCTGGGGGAGGTAGGAGGGTTCTTTTTTTTTCTTCAAATTTTACATTTGTTGATTTTTTTTTTTTTTTAATTTGTTGTTTGTTTGAGACAGGGTCTCACTCTGACGCCCAGGCTGGAGTGCAGTGTTGGGATCACAGCATACTACAGCCTCAACCTCCTGGACTCAAGCCATCCTCCCGCCTCAGCCTTCTGAGTAGCTGGGACTATAGGCATGTGCCATTATGCCTGGATAATTTTTTAGAAAAATTATTTTATGGGCTGGATGCAGTGGCTCATGCCTGTAATCCCAGCACTTTGAGAGGCCGAGATGGGTGGATTGCTTGAGGCCAGGAGTTTGAGACCAGCCTGGTCAATATAGTGAGATGCCATCTCTATTTTCTTTTTTTAATTTTATAAAAAATAATTTTTTTTTGGTTGCCCAGGCTGATCTTGAACTCCTGGGCTCAAGTAATCAGGAGGTTTCTCCTGGGACTTTTAGTTAAAGCCAACCAAATGATGCTCTTAGTTCCAGGGTCAGGACGAAGAACCCTCTAGTTCCCTGCATCTCAGCCTGGGTACCTGTA